AAGTTTTCCGTTCACATGGTAGTTCAGCCTCTGCAACAATAATGCACATATAGAGGCGTGCAAGAAGAAGTATGAGAAAGTGATGCAGGATTTGAAGGACTGGTGGTGATCCTTATTGGAGTCGATTTTTGAGGAGAGTGCTAGAGGTGTTCCTGCATTGTGTGAAACTATCATATCAATTACATAATTACATAATATTATATAATATATACTGCAAAAAACAGCCCACGAGCATGGAGGCAAGGCATGAAGGTCAGCAGTGGTGAACATGCGCACTCACCGTAGGGCACCCTTTGCTCAGAAGGGAAAGCGCCGTCCCTCCGCCAAGCCGTCGTGAGGTTTTTGATGGTAGTGGAGCTGGGATAAGGTCCAGCTGACGCCTCGCCGGCGTTGCTGGCGCGGCTTCGCTGTTTCCTCCTTTGCTGCGTGGCGATGGTGCTGCGCGGCTTGGCTGCACCTGCTGTTGTCGGTGCATTGGCCGTCGACACTGCCGAGACCTTCAGCATCCACCACAAGTCCCTCGATGGCATCCAAGCTGGAAGTGGATAGGTATGGAGTCCCGCAGCCGGACGTCCTTGATTGAATACTGTGAGCGAGCAAGCTGCCAGGAGCCGCCTATGAGACAGCTCGCAAGCTCGAGCATACGAAGCTCAAGACCAAAGACGGGATCACCCACTGAGGTCGGCACGCGCCTCTTCCTGGCGACCCTTCACAAGAACATCGCGGCCAATTTCCGGTGAAGATCAACGAGCTCTTCCTCAAGGCGTTCTACGCCCCTTCGGCCTGGCGAAAGATGACTGAGACCACGCAGCAGCACATCGTCCGCCGAGACCAATTAAGAGTTTCGGAGGCTCGAGGAGGCCCTACAGGAGGTGTCCCGGACCACATCCGGGCCATGATGCTGCTGCTGTTCGCCGGACTGGACGACAAGGAGCAACCCAATGTGGTCCCCAGCTGCGGCAACGACTACGACGTCAAGAACATCTCTCATGTACTGAGTGGAAAGTCACCACCTGCGACAAGAGCTACACCCTGGCCATTGATACGACCGTCGGGACCAGCCAGATGAAGATGCCTTCAACTTCGTGGAAGAAAGCCCAGACGTGTCGAAAATTCTTCGAGGAGCAAACTCCATATACGGCTACTCCGACGACGAGACCCTCGACACCTTATGGAGTTGGCTGAAGCGTTGGCCGCGGCCATCCAGAACAAGACCCGAAAGAACAGCTTCCCGTTCAAGGCCCATGGCGAGATGTCGCTTGGCGGCTTGGCGCCAAGGGCAGGGAGAACCGAAGAATCTAAAGTCCGTGAATTCGGAAGAGGACTCTTCTACCACGCCACCGACGGGAACCTCACTCACATCCTCATCACCCAGATGGGCGACCTCTACTTCGCCGGTGAAGGCGACAAGTACGAGGCAACCGTCGCCTCCATGGAGAAGGGGATCCACTTAAAAGGCGAGGAGAAGAAGCGAGTGTGGGAAGAACATCATCCTGCAGAACGGCAACGTCGAGATCGACCAGCATGACGCAGTTGAAGGCATCGAGTACATGATCTTCGAGAAGACCCGCAGGCAGCATGCCCACCAGACCTGATGGTCAATGTCTTCATGGCGAGCCAACCATGGCAGCCGGCAGCCCCGACGTGATCCAGCTGAACAAGGCCACGAAGATACTCAAGGAGAACGCCGACGCAAAGCGGAAGTTCAAGGCTTCAAGCCTGAAGCTTGACGGTCTTCGTCTTCGCGGACTCCAGCTTCGCGAACACCGAGCAGCTGAAGTCACAATGTGGCTACACGCTTGGCCTCACAGTCAAGGGATGAAAGACGGAAAAGAAGCGCCCATCTACAGTGAAGAGAGTGTGCAGGTGCGCACTGGCTGCAGAGGCAGAGGCCAACGGGGTCCTTGCAGGAGCAGAAACGAGCATTTCAACCCCACCGAGATGGTCTACACCCTGGGGTCTACACCCTGGATGAGGAGTCTATGGACGAGGAGTTCTAGAAGAACAAAGCCATGGTGTTCGCGGACGCCAAAAGCCTCGCCCTCGAGAGTACGCTCAACAAGGACGCCGGACAAGCGTCCGACAAGAGGGTGAAGGTGAAGATCCTGTGCGCCCAGACAAGGAGATGCTGGGCACACATACTATGAAGATGATGGTGACACCTATGCACAATGGGTGGACACGTCGCAGATGCTGGCCGACGTTCTCACCAACCTAGGGTGCGAGCGTAAGCCCTTCCTGAGGGCATTGAGGCTCCCGACGGAGGAAGCACAGCACAAGAACCTGCTTACCCGCACGCTTACCCGCGCTGACGGCCGTGCTCGCAAGCTGAAGAAGAAACCAGGAGAGAGCGCAAGTCCACCAAGGACCGGCCCCTTTGCTCAGAAGGGAAAAGCGCCGTCCCTGTGCCGAGCCATCGCGCGGTTTTGGATATACTGTGTATAGATGGATATATATATATAAACAGAGAGAGAGAGAGAGCGCTGAATTGCATATCAGTACTCGGTACTCGCAGTGGCTGTCCAATATGGCTGTGTGTTTCAGACTAGCAGTGCTTCATGATTTGTAACGAGGACAAGCAAAGCAGGCGCGATGAGCTTCGAGAACAAGCAGAAGAAGCGAACAGGCATCAAAAGTGCGGGGGAGGTTTACACAAGAATTGGACAATAAGTTTGTTGTCAAACTAGCGTGTACATATTATATACATTTCCCTGCTTTCTTTCATGTAAACCTAAGGTTCAAGTGGTGATGGTGCCACTGAAAGCAAGGGTCATTTTGTGGTGTGTTTGCCCAAATTCCAAGATTGGAAATGTTTTGACGACTTATTTTTGCCTGTCGAGGTCATGTTTCACGACGATTCTGAATCAAAAATTGGGGTTCAGGAAACGCAGCACCTTGTTAAAATGCAAGCGGTGCTTCCGATGACTTACTGTATATATTATATATTGACGGTCCGCCGCTGTTTCTCTGGTTGCGCCTGCTAGAAAGATAGCGTGTCAGCTGGCAACAATGGCGGAATTCATTGGTATGCTTTCAGATTCCTGCGGCCATGGTACCAAACCGTGTCCTCCAGTGAAATCACGGTCACCTACCATTGGCTTGGCGGCTTTGTTTCCTCGGGGCTTGGTTTGTGGCACTTTGTGATCATTGTTCGTGTGGATTTGTGCCTTTTTGCCGGCGCGAAGCTTCCAATTGTTGCTCCAGTTGGCTATCGGATTTTTAGTGAAGGCAAAGGTTTTTGCAAACTTTCCTTGAGCACCTGCGCAAAAAGTTTTGTTTGAGTTGCCCGCGGACCACTGCGAGACAATTCTTGACCCTTTGAATGGTGCAATGTTTTTCGCGGCCTAGGCCTTGTTTTTTAACACGACAGTGATGAAGGGAGCAAGCTGCAGACGAAACAGAGGGGGTGGCTATGCTAATTGTCCATCCAAAAACTGAGTCCAGGAAGCTTTCAGGTTCAATGTTCGTTGCCCAAGCCGTATGGGACATTGCCAGCCCTGTTGGCAACTTGGAAGAGTCTGACTGGCCATCTTCCCGGTGTAGTTGTTCTGCCCCATGAGGCCGTTGGCCAGTTGAGAGGAGTGTTCTAAGAGGGTTTCAACATGTTTCAACGACAACGAGAACCAGAAGCTGAAGATCCCCAGTCGAGAATGGGTGGAGATCGTGAGAGAAGGCCAAATGAGACGATGAAGCAGTGGCAATCAAGGCCAGAGCCAACCTGACAAAGCTCTGAACCGTGAACATTATCAATATCAAGAAGAGAATACAATACTGCCGATTGCTGCATGGCATTGCGCGTGGAGGGACAGGTCAGAAAAAATACGCGGGATCTGCGAAGCTGCGAGAAGTTGTGAGCCCCGAAGCGATGAGAAACCAACCGGGGACAGGCGCACTATTCACTGTTGGGGGTGGGAAGTATGGTTTTTGGGCTTAGGGTTTTGCAACGGCTTTACATCTTGGAACTTCTTAGAATCTCCAACCCCTATCCGGGAGACCCGCTGTGCGAAACCACGGCGCAGCACTACGGCGCCACAGCAGGCCAACAGCGCCACCAGCCCGACCGCAGCGCCACAGCATTTGTTTTCGCATGTTTTCGCACCGGGCCTCCCCAACCCTTGGAATGGAAACGGTTGCCAAGGAAGCTTCTTGTTACTACGGGTGAAACAATTCCCAGTGAAACGGTTCCCAAGTGTTGACTTGGTTCAGGCTATACTCATGTGAAGTTGCCACTTTGGCGTTTTTCGAGGCAAATGAAGTCTTTTTTGGCAAGCGTGAAAGAGACTTGCCGGAAGACCACTTTCCTTGCTGAGGACAATTGCAGCGAACCACTTCTGGGCAAATGTCCCATATCACAGAGCTAATTGAAACGGATCAGACGAACAGGAGGACCAGGTCCATTGCCACATCACGCAGGACATGAAAGCCAAATACCACGCCGCTGAACGTGCAGCTGAGCGGGGCTGGTCTTGCAGACCTTTGGTTGCAATGGAAATTTAGCAACAACGTCGACAGCGGGGATTTAGCGGCAACTCAGATTAGGATAACGATGGATAACGCACAAGTTGGTCAGTTTTGCAGGACAGACAGGAACAAGCATCTTGACCCCGCGAGGCAGTTGCCTGTGCCAGAGTTCCTTTTGTTTGACGTTTGCGTGCTTGCAGGTGTGGCAACTCCACGAGAACGACACCTTGGGGTATCTCCTTGACTTTGGAAATCTGTGTTTGTTGAGTTTCGACGGACTGCCAAGCAGAGTCGGAAAAATATTGCATTGCAATTTGATAGATTGTTCCTGATTGTTCTTTGATAGTGAGAGTTTCTTCTGTACTGAGAAAATGAGGCTCAAATGGTTTATACATATATATATATATAAATAAATGTGAAATCAGAGGTTTGACCTCCTGCCAAATCTACTTTTGCATACTCTATTGTTTTTTGCCTTTGCCTGGGACGTCGCTAGGACCACATCGGTAGTTGATGTAGTTTGGATGCCGTAGCCGCCAGCGACATATTATTGAGAGTTTTATGTTGAGGATAAAGCAAAACATTGCAAAGCAGCCAAGCCAGAGTTGCCATGGCCAAACTCTGATAACACAATGCTGGTTGAGCTTGCAGGCGAGCTGCATCGAGCTACTTAAGATCAGAGCACGGGAGACGGTCAAAGAGACCCTACAAGAGACCTCAAAATGATCCAAAATGTCAACGCTTCCTTCATTGCAACGCAAGGAATCACTGGAGCCATCCTGTTGAAGCACGCTGTATTGTGATGGCCACAGGGATGGTTTGAATATGCACACGAGGCCGAGTCGACTTGAGACCGAGGCGGCGATTGCTTTGCTGCTGTTCCTCCCAAGCTCGGCTCAGATACAGATACAGATACAAACGGTTTTCTAAGAGTTACTGCACGAAGGTCCGAGACCTTAACGAGAAGGAACAGCAGGAGGCGGATGGTAGAAAGGATTATTAAAGAGGTCTTTGACACGGGGCCCACTACGCCTCGACCCACTGTTTACTTTAAGAAGTTTTGCATGACGCAGGTGGTGAATCGTTTGATGCTCTTTGTGGCACCATCCACAATGGTTGTCCTCAGTGTTGCGTCCCTGTGCGAGCCACAGAGAGGATATCTTTTGAATGTTCAGTGCTCGGTTTCCGTTTCTATTTTTTTTGCATTGAAGAAGTGGGCCTGACATGGATGGAGGTACAGCAGTGACGCTTTCCAGGCACAAGTATTAAGAAAATTAGCATGAACCTTTCTCATCCTTTCTCCACAAACGGATACAAACAGCATCAAACAGCCCTTTCTTCAGCAAATTTGCCGCCTCAAACTGTGGCTTGGCTTGAAGGACCCACAGAGCCGCTGGGCAAGCTCAGATGGGTGCAATCCTGAGATATCCTGAACAAAAACAGGAAGCATTATTGTCGGATGTTGCCTGGAAGAACTTCGCATCCAGATCAATCCAATCCAGCGATTTGCATGAATACTGTATATTTCATGGATATCGTGTACAGTTGCTAACATGCGATAACGTGGCAAGTCGCCCCAAGGCCAACCACAGCAGGCTGGCAGTTTTGCAACTTGTGAGGAACAAGAACGAGTTGGCTTTCTTTCGCGCAGAGGTGAGTGGGCTGGGCAGGTGAGTGGGCTGGGCTTATCCTGGCGAGTTTCATGATTTACGAGACTGGACCTGAGATGACGGCATGTTCACTTTGTCCGAGCACATTTGATATTGGGCTTGGGCGACAAAGGCTTGTGCTCTATGCTGCATACGGAAAGGGACTCGCCTTTTGGTACGCAACTTGGGCAGTTTGAGTGAATGTGCTTAAAGTGCACAGGATCGTGTTCAATGGCATTGGCGAATGCACTCTTCCAAGATATCGTTTGTATTCACCTGAACCAATGACTACATTTTGCATGAACGAATCTTGGAACCCGTTCGCTTTCGCCTTCTCATCCGCCTTGTTTGGCTTGGTGTCATGTTTGACCACTTCACATGACGAAACCTGGCTTGTCTCAAGCCGTCTCAGCTTCCATGTCAGATCAGCTCAGCTTCGCTCATTCTGTGTGTCCACCGCATTATCCTTGTGTTGATGTTTATAAATTGTAAGGGCTCCGCCCTGGTGCCGCCGACCCCTTTTTTCGTGGTGCTGACATGGCACATGGAGTTTGGGAGGTACAGGAAACCGAGCAATCCCAGGATTGATGAAATATGCAGACAATGCCTTGTAGGTCCTGCAGAACCTTGCTTGGCCCGTCGCGGGTTCAAGGATTTTATGCATGTATTTGTTTCACAAGCTTCCAAAATTAACAACAGCAACATTTCGTCGTATTTGGCACCAAGAACTCCATACCGGTATCATATAGGCGCTGCCCTTGTTCTGCAGTAAGTTCAATTGGGCACATCTCCACATCCAAGCTCCAAATGGATAGCTGGGTTAACAAAAGTGTGCAAAGACGAAGTTCTACACTTCGTTCTGAGTGGTCACGTGCATTGCACGCGGAGCGTAGGCACACAGCCAAGAAAGTTACCATGATCCGTGTAGCATGGTTTGAGCTCCCCTCGAACTGCATCAAAATGACCCGTTGTGATAAAATGCAGTGCATACCTAGAAAAATCAGATATCTGACAAGCAACTAACAGATTTTGTCCACACCTCTCTGATCCTTGAGGTTGGTCGTCCCTGGGCCTCAATATGAGAAGGGTAGACCTTATGCAATGATGGATTTTGGGGGGGTGAAGGTAAAACGAGCAAAGCTTAAAACAGTACTGGCAAAGGCGCCGAAGAATCCCAAACTCATGAGGCATAGAAACATTTCCTTGTTGGACCTTGACGCTGTCAGGTCTGCCCAGCGGACGAGATTTGCTGCGCAGAGTCGAGCCCATACTCCTCATGTCTTTTGTTGGACCGCTCAAAAAACCTTTTGGGCCCTTGGGGTCCCAAGAACAGGTTCAGTGACACTGAAACCCTTATGATGATACTGTTGCAAATTCCAAAGCTCATGAAGATCCATGTCGAGCAGACAGGACCGTGCCAAGCCCCTCCACCGACCTTTGTGCGCAAAGTCTGGTAGATGCAATTCGCAAAGCCCTCGCTGCTAAGGATATCCTGAGAACATGGGTCATCATTCAACCTCGAAGGCGATGGCATCTCGGCCCGCTCCAGGGAAGCCGGTGAAGCATGGCGGTGGGATTGAGGGCACACTCTACGGCAACCACTGTAGAAACACAAAGGGAGCACGACGTATATTGTTTTTGTTATTCTTTTGAGATAGGGCCTGCTTTTCTCCCAATGTCACACTCTTTTGACCTGCAAAGGTCTCTAGATTATCAATCGGGCTCCAGTCAAGGTTTTTGGCACCCCGAACATGAGGCTCGTGAGCATAGCCAAGACCTGAAGCACGGATTGCACGGGTTTTTCAAAAGGGTTCTCATTTAAGACTTAAAGACAGAGTGAGCGCCTTTGAACAAACCATTTTCATAGGGGCAAAGCTTCCATGCTTCTAACAAGGGGCTGCAGGCGCTTTCAAGTGCTTTAATCCCTGAAGCGCAATGGTTCGCTGGATATCCTTTGTGGACCGACGCTTTTTGATCTGTCTGGAAACGCCTTTGCGAAAAGGCATTCTTTCATAGCCTCTGCCGGCCATTGCACTTGGGACTATATAATCACCCTGAAGAAGTTCACCCACTAAAACCCAGTGTTGAGCCAAATGCTTCGAATGAAGCAACCTCTCGCGCACAAGCCGGCGTGTGCAGTTTGGTTGGCACTGACTGAGTACATCAGCACCTGAGGAATGGATCTATCCCTGCGCGCCATCCCATCGATTCTGTCCTGGTTCCCTGTCATGGTGGGCAGGAAAGGGAAGCCGTCGCCATCGCCTGTGGGAACGAATCTTGCGGTCGACTGGCCCAAGCCCTCTTGGTTTGTCACCAAGCCATGGCTACGTTCAGACGAATAAGGTGATTGCAAATTTTGGCAAGACGATGTTTCTGTTGAACCTCTTGCTAGACTGGATGAAGCGTTGCGCATGGTTGAAACCTCAGACCTCAGTGATCCAAACAATACTAAATACTGATCTGTCAAGGCCAATGTAAACTAGCAGACTGGCAGGTTTCTCAACTGCTTTTTCACCAGCGCCCCTGTTCCACCCCCCACATTTGCATACAGGGATCGCTAACCTCCATGACATGAAACCCCCTGCATGGACATAGTCCACTATGCAGAATGAGAAAATGAGAACTCATCCAAAGAAGTTGAAACACGTTTGTATATCTACTCGGAAGAAAGCCCTTTGTTTCGCAGCTTTCCAAGCTGCAGCCGGGCTGTCGTGCAAGCTCCATGTCAGCTGACCAAGGGCCTGCTGTGGGTCCTCACTTTCAGGGAAATCTTTCCCCACACGCTTCACCACAAACGCCTTCTTGGAGCACAAGACCTCAATTGCCTTAGATGGTTTTGACTTGGTTCAATTTTGATCTTTCTGCATCAAACACTTTATAGACCTGACCTACACCTTTAGTGTATCCCATTCCCTGTAGCAGTGGCTGATCATGGTTAGTCATGGCCTTGTTCAATAATAGTGACGAACTTGTATTGACTGTTACAGGTCATGGGACACACGCAACCCACACCGCAATTGAAGAGGTGAGTGAGAGTTACCTCTTTGTTACAGCCACCAACCAAAGACAATTTAAGCTTCGCTTCATGTCAAGAAACCGGGTTTGTGGTTTCGGAAACCACCGTGTATCCATGCTTTCCCTTGCTGGAGGGGCCTGGCCAAGCCTCCCGCGGCGCACCCATCTTCTTGAGATTATAGGACTGCCAAATTCCATGGGCGCATGCGTCGCCCTTGAGGCTCTCCTTCTTGACCTTCTTGCCAGCCTGAACGGATCAGGCGTTGCGGCGTTGAAGGGTGATTCACTTCGGTGGGAAGATAGGTGAATCCAAAACAATAGGATTATACCAATAGGTCCAACCTGTGACCCCCCAGGCTCCTCCAGCTCTGCCTCCATGTTGCTAAACCCCTTCAGGAACAGGGACTGCGCTTTTCTGCCGCGTCACAATGTCTGCGTCCTTCTCGCTGCGAAGTGAATCCTCTGTGGCGCATCGGCGCTATGTTTAGGAAGGACCCACATGTTGCAAGCTCGACGCTATGTTTAGGAAGAACCCACATGTTGCAAGCTCTGGAAACAGTAGAATGAAACAAACGACTCTTGACAACATCGCAGACTCTTTCAACCCAAGTCCTTCTGCCCACCAGACTCTCGAAGTGGAGCTGCGACTGGGCGAGATGCGCCGCCTTGGAGCGAATGGAAAAGGATGTTTTTCCCCACATTGCCGTGTGGGGTTTCTTGTTTTTTGCTGCACCTCCTCGCTCCTCCTCCTCCTCCTCCTCCTCCTCCGCCTTCCTCCTTCCTCCTCCTCTCTCACACAAATCATCTCTCACAACAACATCTCTCACACAACATCTCTCACACAACATCCCACACACAACATCTCTCACACAACATCTCTCACAACAACATCTCACACACACACACAACATCACTCACGCAACATCCCACACACAACGTCTCGCACACAACATCACTCACACAACATCTCTCACAACAACATCTCACACACAACATCACTCACACAAC